GGGGGGGGTTTAAATCTTTTTGATTGCTTGAGAAAAATTAAAACTAAGCTAGAATGGAAATATGACAAGTAAACAAGTAAATGATTTGATTAAATTCAATGAAGTAAATTTATTGATTTTGGGATACACCACATGGATGACATAGTTGACTTATCATTAGACTAAATGGAACAACACTTGTGAATTAGTTTAACTTGGCTATAACAATTCATAAGCATAAATTGCCTAAACTCTTCATTGTTATTAAAATGGTTAGAGGAGCTCTTAACACATTCCCTTAATTAAAGTCACAAAATCAATGAAGCATATAATCTTGTGAAAATTAATTAACTTTAAGTTCTAAGAGTTACCAAGTCCAAAAGATAATCAAATGCTTGCATTATCATTAGGAGGAAACATTTCCATGGTTTAAATGAAATGAAAACAAACATATAAACCATTTGTTGCTTACTAATTTGAGGGTCCATTACTTAACCAAGAAATTTGTCAACAAAAATAAGCATTCATTCATCAAAGCTCATGATCAAGGATAAATAAACACAAGAAGATGTTTGACTAGAAAACATTCTCATAAACTTCAAACACAAGATAACATAAGTCTTCAAAACAACCAATCATCCATGGGTTAAACCCTAATCAACCAAGCATGAGTCTAGCCAAGCATGGCCAAAATAAAAGAAATACAAGATAGTTTAGAGGTACCAAACATTGTTCAAGTTGCAAGATGAAATGAAATTACACCAATCTTCTAAATCTTCAATTTCTTCCAAAGCCTTCTTGAGAGCAAAATGAGTTGTTCTTGAGAGTGTTAATGATGAACTCCATTCAAAATCTTCAGTAAATAGGGGCTCATTTCCGGATCTAAAAGCTGGCCAAAAGTAATCCACCAACCTCCCAAAGTAGAGACTAAAGCCAAAAATCCGGATTCTTCACAACACGATCCACGCGGACCGTTTGTGGATCCACGCGGACCGCGTGGGTCTCGCTGAATGTGTTCCTTGGCTCATTTAATTTACAAACCAGCCCAATCTTTTCATTAGCATCTCAGCCTATTTGCATCAATTCTTGGGAGCCCAATTATGTTTTTCCAAAGCCTTCAATGATGATCCAATGCTCTTTTAGTCTTCCTTAGCTCGACTCCTCGTCGCCTTGTCCAAAAATTAAGTCCAACGCGCTTCTTGTTTATATTGACACCAAGCCCAATTGCACCACTTCAAGTCCACGAACAAATTGCAAGCTTCCAATAGTCCCGCACTCCTTCCGTACCTCCAATGACAAATAGTCTTCGGTAAATCCTGCAAATAAGCTCAAAAGACTGGAAAGCATCCGGTAAAGGAGAAAAATAACAAAAAGAGAAAATATGCATGAAGATTAACTAAAATGAGATGGTTTTAACTAAAAATAAACTATGAAAAGAAGTAATAAAATGAAACTATCATGGTTCCAAGTGACGACATCAGTTTGGTGCTAAGAATCCGTGTTTTTACAGTTCCAAAGGTATCCTCAAGACCCATTAGAAATTCATAAACTCATTCCTTGTCTCTTGATTCCACGAGTCTCTTTCCAATGCCACAAGTGCATTTACCACGAGTGTAGCTTGAAGTTGGCGAAACAAATAGGATCTCTTCCCAAATTTCACTCATCTTCATGAAGTATGTTGAGATATAGTCAGCTTCTTATCTAAGTGTTGTTAAGTAATGTTTCAATTCATAAGCATGTGGTGTACTTTCCTTTCCAAATCTTTCTTTAAGGTCATCCCAGATCTCCTTTGTTGGTGTGGTGTATTGCATGTTGTTTCGTATATTCTTTTCCATGGTCGTAGTAAGCCATCTTCTTATCAAAGCATCACTTCATTGTCAAGCTCTATATTCATTGGTTCTTGTGTCGATTTTTCGACGGTTCCTTAATGAAGTATGCCCTATTTTTTGCCAGGAGAAAGTCTTTCATCTCTCCTGGCGAATTTGTCATGTATTTGTTGTGGATAATCAGTAGGGTGGAGAAAGTCTTTTATCTCCAAGGTTTTCATTGACATGTATTTGTCGTGGATAATCAGTAGGGTGGATGTAGAAGGGTGAATTTGGATTGGATGAAGGGTTAGTGTTTGTAACAGAGCCATTGGTTGGAGTATCACCCGCTATTGTTTAACATGTTATGGAATCCTGCTCTGATACCAAGAAGAATTTAGGTAATGTTTGGTACATGAACAAGATTGAACATGAACGAACTAGACTTGAAAAACATAACTAAATAAATTGTTTGTGTTGCGTTTGGTACGACGATGCAGGGATGGAACAAGACAGTAAAATTACCACATTGTCCCCATAATTAAAAACTTTTCTAGAATTTTTTTTAATGGTAATTACTAGATACATATTTTATTTAACATATATATATATATATATATATATATATATATATATATATATATATATATATATATATAATTCGAACTAGAGGGTTTTAGATTCTATTTGGAAATTAAAAATACGAACCATGATGATAATTACGAATATTTTATAATAATTATTAAGAAATATATATATATATATATATATATATATATATATATATATATATATATATATATATATATATATTAAAAAAAACAAGTTTTCTTACTTTGGTAGAAATTATGAGTCTTAATGCTGTTGTTCATCTTTGTTCCGACATTTTTAGTGGGACTAAAATTTAGGATGTTAGTCTCATTTGACTTGGTATTTGTTCCATTCATTTTAGTTTCATCTTAACCCAACGTTATGGCAGTCGATTTTGTTAAGTTTTGTTCTATCGAATCCCACTCACCAAAAGCTACCTTAAAGAACAAGAATAAGATTTAACTTCAAAACATAGTTTTCTATTTCTCGATCAAAAGGTAATATAGAAACCCGATTACAATTAGAAATGAATATGAATTCTAGATATGGATAATGACTTAAAAGGGTAATATATTTTTCGATTTGTACACATTTGATCACTGAGTTTTTTTCGTCTACATTTACCCCCTTCAACTTGTTTAACTATACACATTTAGTCTTTACAACCGACTTTTCTAGGTAAGCCGAAAAAAATGACTTAGAGGGTAATATATTTCTCACTTTGTACACATTTAGTCTTTAATATTTTTTTGCACATTTAGTCCTTAATATTTATCTTGTTGCAAAATAAGTCCTTGTTGTTTTTGTACACATTCAATACTTATGACAGGTTTTTTAGGGTTTTCTTATGTCATCCTACGCGACACAATCATTAATAAGGTGTTCAAGACTGTTCATGGTTATGGTCATCGCGACATCATCGACTGATTGGTTGCTTAGTTCTTATGGCTTGACTTTAGGTCTTGTGTTCTGAACGTCGTCACTTCTTCATACGATCACATATTTTATCGATCTTTATATTCTTGTGTTCATATTTGAGTCTACTATAATTTTCGTTTAGATTACTCCCGTTAAAAAACAATATATATTTTTACTTACGATATCTATATTCATGCGTTATTTATGAATGTATGTATGAACGTTTTTTTTATAAAATTGTAAAATAAAATTGTAGTAGACTCAAATACGAACGCGTGAATATAAAAATCGTTAAAACCTATGATTGTATGAAAAAGTTACGATGTTCAAAACACAAACCTAAGCCAAACCACAAAAACTAAGCAACCAAGCAGCCGAGGCCGTGATGACCATAACCATGAACAGTCTTGAACACCGTATTAATGATTGTGTCACGTAAGATGTCATGAGAAAACCCTAAAAAAACCGGTCATAAGTATTGAATGTGTACAAAAACGACAATGACTTATTTTGTAAAAATATATATATTAAGGACTAAATGTGCAAAAAAAAACTAATTGTATACAGTTAAACAAGTTGATATGGTAAATATGAAAAAAAAACCCCTTAGTAACCAAATATTTAAAAATCGAAAAATATATCACCATTTTGAGTCATAACTAAGGTGGTGTTTGTTTTTTGTCTGCAGATCTGCGTGGCCTCTTCTGTCTGCGCCGCGCAGACCACGCACAGACATTAGCTTTCGCAGACTGTTTGTTTTTTGAAGACTGCAGACCTAAAAATGTCTGCGCGCCCTCTTCTTGGCACAGACGTGGACCAGAGTCTTCTAACATCTTCAGACATCTTCTAGCTTAAAAAAAATACATATATCTTCATTTTTTTAAGTTTTTTTTTATTTATATTTTTTCCAACTTTATTAATGATAAGCAATTTGAAAAAAAATTACAAAACTTTAAAAAAAAAAACGTTCGACGATACAAACATGATATTTTTGATAAATTTATAAATAAAGATTTATTACAATAATAGTCGTTGAAGTTGTTTATATAAATATGAAAAAAAAATCATAATATATTCTTATATTTTCTGCCAAATTTTTTAAAACATTATTTAATACAGTATCATCAATTTCTCGAGAAAATATTTATGGTACGTTTTTAATGGATTTAATTAAAAAAATCGAAGTTTATTTCCATCAATTTATGTATCAAATTCTTTGATCCCTAATTATAATGTTTAGTTATAACTTTGTAACCAAAGTTGTTGGTTTTTATCAAATATATACGTTAAATCATACCATTTTTATTTTTATTTTTTATATAATAATAGATAAAAGTTGATCTAGATTTGTTAATTATTTATAACAAAGTCATAAAAGTAAAATCACTTTGAAGTTTAAAAATTCAGTTCATTTAAATTTCAGTTTATTTTAGTAGTCCGCATATGTTAAAAAAACAAAAAGTCTTCTTTTTTCAGACTGCAGACGTTTGATTCACCTCTTCTACTGCAGAGGTCTACAGATGTGGTCCGCAGACTGCACACATTTTGCATAAAAAAAAACAAACAGCACCTAAGAATAAGAAAATATAAAGATAAACACAACTTAAGTAATTATCTTAATTTACGAGATAATCCCTTTACATTATTAGTCACAAATTTATACCAAGTATAAACGAAAAAAAGATAAACAAAATTACAATCAAACCACTTTAGTACCAAAGAAACGTGAGATGTTCTAATACCCACTTTTTTGACCCCTTTTCTTCTCAAATGGAATTAGCTGCAAGTTCTGGTGCAGCTGCGTTTTTGCTCGTAGTAAATCCTCTTCCTCTCAGGTACGTTCGTTCCACTCTTGTTGTCATACTCATCTTCCATTTGTCATTACTTTCCTCTTATGTAGCATTATAGGTCTACATTTTGTTCAATTTCTGCTGCAATTCTTTAAGTTCCAGGTGATTTTAGTAGGGGGCTTTGCTTTTCTCTGCTTACACTGTTATTTGAGCTTCCAATTTACTTGATTTTCTTCTACTTGATTCAATGTTCACTACTGTTAGTAATGCTACGTTTGTAACTTTTTTGCTTAAACTTTTGGGTATCGATTTCTCTCCTCATACATCCATTGCCATTACCCATCTGCATTTTGTTCAAATCCTGTTGCAATTTTACAAGCTTCTGAATTTATCTGCTATTGGTGTTTTTCTAATCGGTGATTTTGTTCTTATTTTGTAGGTAAACCCATCTGGTTATATTTGTGGTTTCTGAGAATCGGGTATCGGTAGATAAATTTCCTTTGGTTTTCAACATACCCTTCTTGCGGAAATAAAGCTATGGCATTGGCAACATGTACATCGCCATTGTCAATGCCAATAGAAACTCAAGATTCAATTAGGGCACCCACTGTTTTTGGATGGAGAGTTTCAACGTTGAAGATGACGCGTTGGAAACCTAACAACATTTCTTCCTATTCTCCCAAGATAACATGTTCATCAATCAACAAATTCAATAACAAAGATTCCTTTCATAATCTACACCCCGAAGTTTTTCTACTCAGAGGCGATGGAAACAACACAGTGATCACTCCAGGACAAGAGAGTTTGAGAGATTCAACAATTTCTACTAACTACAATGAGGCCAAGATTAAAGTGATTGGTGTTGGAGGAGGTGGGTCAAACGCGGTCAACCGTATGATTGAGAATGCAATGAAGGGTGTTGAGTTTTATATTGTGAACACAGATGTTCAAGCTATGAAAATGTCCCCTGTTTTCCCAAATCACCGGTTGCAAATTGGTCAAGAGTTGACCAGAGGACTTGGTGCAGGTGGTAACCCTGATGTTGGTATGAACGCTGCTAAAGAAAGTAGACAGTCCATTGAAGAAGCTCTTAATGGTTCAGATATGGTGTTTGTCACTGTAAGTTCTTCCCTTTTTTAATTTATTGCTCCTTGAGTTCCACATTTTATACCTTTTTTCTATGTCCCCTCCTAAAAAACGTGACCAACAAGCATTTCATGATTCTCACAATATTATATGATATATCTACTTAGGGATTGTTTCTTCTCGACTCTTAATCTGGATTACTATAAATGGTTCTTCTTTTTCTTACTTAATCTGTACAAATGACTTATCGAAGAAAAAAAAAAAGGAAATAGCCCCTTAGGTAAATGATGTTTCAATTTTTTTTTAAGAAAAATGATGTCACACTTGGTGAAATATAAGAAAAAAAATTAAATGAGGGCAAACTTATAAAAAAAGTTAGGATATGAAGTTGTTCTAGTGGTATTAATTATTAAATAAAAAAGAAACACTGATATATAGCTTACCAGATTAAGTCATGTCATGTCTGACTGCAGGCGGGGATGGGTGGAGGTACAGGTACAGGTGCAGCCCCAATCATTGCAGGTGTTGCAAAGTCAATGGGTATATTGACCGTTGGTATTGTGACAACTCCTTTTTCTTTTGAGGGAAGGCGAAGAGCAGTTCAAGCACAAGAAGGAATTGCATTATTAAGAGAAAACGTCGATACCTTGATTGTCATTCCAAATGACAAACTATTGACTGCAATTTCCCCTTCTACCCCTGTCACCGAAGCTTTTAATCTAGCCGATGACATTCTCCGCCAGGGCGTTCGTGGAATTTCCGATATAATTACGGTATAAAAAGTTAATCTCCATTAAGTCGTTCTTTCTGTATTAAGTCTAAAACAATCAATTAAAATTGCAGATACCGGGCTTGGTTAATGTGGATTTTGCTGATGTTCGAGCTATTATGGCAAATGCAGGCTCGTCGTTAATGGGGATCGGAATTGGAACTGGTAAGTGGAAATCATTCAACTAGGGGTAATTTCGTAATTTTACTCAATAAATGTGTCTTTCTTTTGTAGGGAAGACAAGGGCAAGAGATGCCGCATTAAATGCGATTCAATCACCTTTGCTAGACATCGGTATCGAGAGGGCGACTGGAATTGTTTGGAATATAACCGGTGGTACCGATTTAACATTACTCGAGGTATAATTTTGGATATGGAAGGGTATTTTAGACTTTTTACAGATAGTCAGCACTGTTTTTTTGGGGTCAAATGTGAAATGGGACATTGCAGGTAAATACTGCAGCTGAGGTGATATACGATCTTGTGGACCCCACTGCAAACTTGATCTTTGGAGCTGTCATTGATCCGTTGATAAGTGGTCAAGTAAGATTTACTTTGTTACAAACATAGGACAAAACAAAATTGGTTGTACTGTGTCTGTCATGCATTTGACTGAGACTGTGATTTCGAAAACATTGCAATTTTTTTTGTCCCACCCAAAAATATGGAACAAGATGGGAATAGAGTCACATATGTGCAAAAGACAGTAATGCCTTTTTCATTTTGATAAATTTGAAAAACAAGAAAGTCAGACATTTATGATTTTTTTTTCTTTATTTTTTAGGTGAGTATAACTCTAATAGCAACCGGATTCAAGCGACAAGAAGAAAGTGATGAACCGCCTATCCAAGTACTATTATCAACTCAAAAAATCTATCTTTTTTTTTTGAAAGGACAGTTTAGTAATTTCACTATTTCTATGTAATTTGTTGAAAATGCAGGCGGCACAGGCGGATTTGGGTGGATTCAACCGGCGGCCACCACAGGAAGGAAGCTTGTTTGAAATTCCTGAGTTCTTAAAGAAGAAAGGGCGCTCAAGATACCCACGAGCTTAGTAATGTATTGCCACTATATTATATTTTATTTGTTCTCTTAATTTTTCACAAAAGTTTTGGGATTAAATTTGTACAGGTTGCTTGTTTATCTTGAATATTGATTTTTTTCTCCAAGCAATTTAGTATTTCTATATTTAAGCAACTATGTTTCTATTGAAAAAGTCTCTTTGAGGCATTTCGTCGAACAACTGGTGGGCCTGGTTGGCTACTCTAGACCTTTTATTTTTTCAAACAAGTACTTCAAAATATCTCTTATCTGTAAAAAAAAAATGTCTAGAAGGAATTCAACATTTCACAACAAAAAAAAAGATATATATGTATATTTATATTATATAATATGTAATATGTAATTTCATTATTCCTCTAAACCTTTTTCTAATCCTAAACCAAGAAAACAATGTCAAAAGTTTAAGTTACGATGCCAAAAAACAACACCGACGACCTTCCATATTATCAACACAAAAGACAAAGCTACCCCTCCTCCCTTTACAATTATTACATATCTGGGTTGGGTTTGTTCTCATCAATGGATCTTTGGGTACGAGAAGACCTCCTGGAACTTTGATGAACAGGGTTACTTAAAGGATCATACTTTTGTGAAGCAAGATAATTGAGAGCAGTGACAACATCAGCAATAAGTGGTCTCATATTAGGTTGTTCTTGAACACACATTGCAGCTATTGCTAAAGCTTGATATAATCCTCTCACTGGATACTGACCTTCGAGGACTGGATCTGCCATTTGTGAAAACTTCCTTCTGTCTTTGAACAACGGCCTTGCCTGACATGACACAACAAATTGAAAGGAAAAAGAAAATTCAATTTTTTTTTTTATAAAAGGTAAAAAAATGTATGTTGCTATTTTATATGGTTCAGAATGTGTAAAAAAATTTTGTGGTGTAGTGTTGTGATGATCGATGATGCCAAAGAATATGGGAAAAAGGGATCAGATTCTTGATGTGTGTGGCCCCAAAAACCTTACGAATTTGAGAGTGATATATTTGGATTATAGATGAGTCAAGATCACTCCCTTATTCAAAAGCAATGTTCATACCACAAAAGAAGATTCCCATTCCCAATAGAAAATCTTTATATCAACTTCTTAATTAAAGTTTCCGCAAAAAGCTATTTTTCTCTCTCACAATCCATGTTAGAACTGATGATGCAGTGTGGGCCAGCTCAGGGGTTGGGGTTGTCAGAAGAATAACCCTTTTGCCGAAAAAAGTCAAAAGTGGAGTATGGACCATTAGAAGTAAAGTAAAGAAGACTACTAAAAGAGTCAAATCAAATGAAATGAAAAAAAAAAAAAAAAAAGAAAGTAAAGTTTTTACCCAAGCAACAAGGTTTTGCTCAGCTGCAGATCTTGTATTATCAATGGCTTTTCGACCCGTAATAAGCTCCAACAAGACAACACCAAAACTATAAATATCAGATTTGAAAGTGAGTTGACCCGTCATTGCATAATCAGGAGCACAATACCCGTAAGTCCCCATCACACGGGTCGAAACATGAGTTTTGTCTCCAAGTGGGCCCACTTTTGCCAACCCAAAATCAGACAATTTCGCATGATAATCTTCACCTAACAAAATATTGGACCCCTTTAAGTCCCGATATATAACCGGTGGGTTCATTTTGTCATGCAAATACTCCAACCCGCGTGCTGCACCCGCTGCTATTTTCATCCGTGTATTCCAATCAAGTCGTTTTCTGTGGGGCCCATCATCTGCCACCAAAAAAAAAAAAATCGTACATTTCAAGAAACCTCAATTCACATACAAAAAGATTTTGAAAGATGAGAAATTTATGATGGGGATGATAGATACCGTGTAAATGGTCTTCTAAAGAGCCTAATGGCATGTATTCATACACTAATAATCTTTGTTCTCCTTCAGCACAATAACCGATTAATTTCACAAGATTTGGATGATCAGCCATGCTTAATGTTAATACTTCAACCACAAATTCACGAATCCCTTGTAACCCATCGGGATCCAATTGCTTTATTGCAACAATCTGTAATGTAAAACTAAAAAGATTCAAGCTTTTTCATGTTTAAAAGAATATTACATATGGGAAACGAAAAGAAAGATTAATTTGGACGAATTTATAAAAAGTTGTGGGAAAGCCTTGTTTTCTAACATGACTTTTTCTATTAAGTTGTTTAGTAAAAAATGGAACATCCCAATTAAGTTCATTAGGTCAAAAAGAGACAACACCTTACTTTTAAGGTGTATACTACTATACTCTCTTGTCATTATGCAAATTCTTGGATTTATGATCGAATTTAAATAAGGTGTTTTTAAACAAAATGATTGATTTTCACGAACCTGATCGGAATCTTCCAACTTTCCTTTAAAAACTTTGCCAAATCCACCCTCCCCTAAGAAATATGAACCTTTGAAGTTATCAGTTGCATTGACTAATTGTGCATATGTGAATGTTCTTGCTTTGTTTATAGAACCTCCTTCTCTTTGAGTCTTACTCTCATTGGTGACTGATGATTGAATAGCATCCTGTGCACTTTCCTTTTTCACTTCATTACACTTTTCGACTTTTACTGTATCTAAATCATTTAAACCAATAAATTTCAATCAGAATATGTAATGAAATGTATGGAGAAGTACACAAGAAGTCATTTAAAGCACAAAAGTATAAAACTTCATCATGATTTAGGAAAGTAAGATGGGACATGACAATTACTAAAATTTTAAAATTCAAATGATAACAAAGGGATGTGAAAAGAATAAACCAAGCCCTTTTTCTATTCACCTATCAGTGTTTGGAATCTGGGTTATTAGTAAATAGTAGTGGTAATCTTAGTAGATAGTAATAAACAGCTCTTTACAACTACAAATTGATATGGGTTTTAGGGCTTTTGAAGAAGGTAAAGTACAATCAGTTTGAGAGTTGTTTTTTTATTTTTTTGATAAATTAGTTAATAGATTAAAATCAAGGGAATTGATAAGCTTCAAGATCAAAAGTTATTAAAGTTTCTATCAATTGATGAGGTCACTGGTGACATAAAAGTTTCAATTAAAATTTAACCCAATGGACATAGAACAAATTATTATTAAATTACACAGAAAAAGTTACATCCAATCTCAAAGTAAACCCAAAGTTAACATCATTAGTCGACGACGACGAAAACAACAAAATCAGTAATCACCACGATCAACAATTCTCTTATGGAAGATCGATAACCAAAATTCATAACTTCAAATCCAAAATAGGCGACCGAACATCAGAAAACGCAAATCCCCAAAAAGAAAAATCGAACGGCATGCATGATTCCAACAACAAGAATCGAATCACGAAACACAGAGAGAATATTAGAAATGAAGCTTAGGATGCAAAATTTGCCCCAAAAACATAGAACTTTTACAATTTTGAATGATCACTCATAAAAATATTTTTGAGGAAAGAAATTTCTTTATACATACCAGAAGTTTTTGTGTTTGATTGATCGTTGTGGGTGGTGTCGTTTCTCTTGTTCTTCGATGATCTTTTTGTAGAAGAATCTCCCCCAGCGCAAGGGAAACAACCCATGCCTGTTTCCTTTATCTCTCTCTATATATCTATGTACTTGTTGATGTTTCTATACAAAATCATAACAACAATAGAAATTACCTTCTAAAAAATTTACAAATCCCTCATCTTCTTCTTTCTTGTTCTCTGCTACAGAAAGCCCAGAACATAAACCAATCAAAATTAGCACCAGAGAGAGAGAGAGAGAGAGAGAGAGTTTATTGCAGGTTTATAGAGAGAGAAAGAAGGGAACCGAAAGGCATTTTATATTTCATTTGGGATGATTCATTTTAACTCCTTCTAGTTTTTTATGAAAACGAATGAACCCTTTGAGATTATACATAAGTGAAAGGTTTACCCTATTAATGTTTGTATTGTCATTTCCAGCCCATACAGTTTAAAGGGAAATTGAAATCTTTTGTTCACATCTCTTCTATATATAAATTATTACAAATTTTACTTCAAAATGCCTAACAATGAGTCAATGACTATGCCTTTTTGTTTGGTATGTGATAAAAGTCATGCCAACCGCTGGTCAATATAAACCAAACTTTTAACTACGATGCACAAACATTTTGTACATGATGTGCCAAAGAATTGTTTAAGATTATATATTTTGGGACATAAGGAATATTACCATTTTCCAGATACAACTAAAAAGAAAATAACTAACCTCAATGGATCAAGACTTTTGTCACTTACCCTTAGAAACGTTATAATCAATGTCTCTCAGTTATAAGATTCAAGCTCAAAATATTTATATCATCATCAAAAAGGTTTTAACCACGTAACCAAGTTCCATTGGCTTTGAAACATGCTCATTTGACCCCCTAAGAAGCAAAATACAAAATGGTCTAAATATGAGGAAAGATTATAACTTGGTATTGAATTTACAAAATAGTCATCATCATTAGGGTTTAAGGGATTTGTTTTTCCTATCAAAGTCCTAAATTAATAAATGGACATGATATTTGTATTTGCAATGTTTTGATATGTATATTATTTCATTTTTGCACCAAATGTATTGTTTGAATATAAATAAATGATTATTTTATCATCATATTTAAATTTGACAAATAACAAATAAACATTTATTTAATGAACGTTATAAATTAAAATTGTATATTTTCACATTAAAAGATTTTAGAAATTTAAAAAATAACATATTAGTAACTTAAATTGAATATAATTTTAAAATAAGTTCAAATAATAAGATTAAATTCTTACAACTAATATTTACATATATAATGTAAAAAAAAAAGCGCTTGAAATTTATATGATATTTACATATATGGGTTAAAATATATGATGATTAAAAGATTTATGGTCTCATGTTAGTTACGATTTTTGAGAAACACGGACTTTAGAATACAATTCAGTAAACTAGTATGAAATGTGTATATGAAGCCGAAAGAATTTGAAGTACAATGAGATTTATTGATGAAAGAGCACAAAACGCAGGATAAATTTGGTTTAAGGACATGTATGACAAGCGGACTGTGTGGATACCAACATATTTTAAGGATATGCAGAGACTAATAAAAACAACTTTCAAGTCCGAATGTGCGAATTATTATTAATAAGTATGCTCATCATGAGAATTTTCTTTTGTATTTCATGGTTAACTATGACAAGACTGTGAATGTAAACCTACTTGGGTGTGAACCTGCCATGAGTAGCTGCACCACCCTCTTTTGTTGACAAATGAATGCCTCCGACAATAACAACTAGAATTGGCAGCTTCTTTATTTCACACGGTGAACACAATAAATTGTCACAGTACTTATAGTGGCTAGCTTTAGTATAAATAGAAGTTGTAATATCAGTTGTAAGACACTACAAAACAGAGAGTGTAGTGTGTAATACTTAGAGTAAGTATTAGAGGGTTGTTTCTTTTTCTTGTAATATTGAGTGTATAAGCTCTTCTCTTTTGTTCTAGTTCTGAATAAAAGTGTGTTTCAACCCCAACAAGTGGTATCAGAGTTTGGTTAAGCTCCGGGGGAAGCATTCTCTGTTTTTTTGGTCGAAATTTTTTTATCTCAAAAACAATTTCGGAGTACACCGTTGGAAAGGTCTCGTTCTGAGGATTCCGAAAATATATTTTTTTTGAATTTTTTGACCACCGGAAGGCCTCCAAATCACCGGTCAAAGTTGGTCAAATCTACCGGAAAGGTCGCCGGAAAAACCAGGGTTCGCCGGAGAAGACGACACTGTAGCAAGCACTGTAGCAGTGACATCAGCAGTGACGTCAGCAGCTGACCAAAGTTCTGGAAATTGCAGTTTAGCCCCTGTTCTTCCGGAAAGTGCAATTTGGCCCCTGTTTTTCAGAAAAATTGCAATTTTGGTCCCGTTTTTCAGAAAAATTTCAATTTAGCCCCTGTTTTACTTCTGTAAAAGTTCTGTTTGCCCCCTGAACTTCTGAAAAGTTCATATTGGTCCCCGTACTTCAAAAAAAAAATATTCTTACTCGTGTATGCCCAAGTATATGCCAAGAATGACTACACCAACCTCGTCATCTTCTCAAGCCGGAGTTGAAAGTTTTCAAAGGACCGGGAAAGACGGTAACGTTACGTTACACTATCCAATGCTCACGAAGATGAACTACGCGGTGTGGGCCATAAAAATGCGAGTGAATTTACAAGCACAAGGAGTATGAGATGTAATTAAAAATGCAGAAACGGACGAACGTAAAGATCGGATGGCTCTTGCGGCTATTTATCAAGCAATTCCAGAGGACGTACTTCTGATGTTAGCTGAGAAGGACACAACTAAAGAAGCATGGGAAACGCTCAAGATGATGCACATGGGAGCCGATCGGGTCAAGGAGGCTAAAGCTCAAACCTTGAGAAGTGACTTCGAGGTGATCCGGATGAAAGACAGTGAATCGGTAGATGATTTTTCCATGAGATTGAATACTATCGTAACCGGTATTCAATCTCTAGGTGAAAAGATTGAAGAAATTACGGTTGTGAAGAAGTTTTTGCGAGCCGTACCGATACGATTTATACAAATCGTAACATCAATCGAGCAATTCGGAGATTTGAAGAATATGACGGTGGAAGAAGTTGTGGGTCGTCTTAAGACCCATGAAGAGAGACTTCGAAGCTATGGAGAAAAAGAAGAAGGACCTTCTCTATTGCTTACACATGCCGAGTGGGCATCTCGTTCGAAGCAACTGGCGAGAGAAACTCGTCAAACACTTCAAGAGGACGAGGAGGACATGGTAACCGAGGCCGGGGACGAGGCCGAGGTCGTGGACGTGGCCAAGGAGGTGGACGCGAGTACAATACAAATCGGAATGACCATAATCCTTCTCGAAAGGATAAAAGTAAAGTCAAATGCTTTACTTGTGACAATTTGGTCATTATGCTTCGGAGGGTCCAAACAAGAATCGAGGTGAGGAGGCAAACCTCACTCAAGCCAATGAAGAAGAGCCTATTTTAATGATGGCAACCTCACAAGAATATGCACACAAAAAAGTGTCTCTAAGAGAGAAGATTTGTGTTAATCTTCTTGCATCGGGAGAAAGTCGAGTCGAGTCTGAGGTATGGTATCTCGACAACGGTGCTAGCAAACACATGACTGGAGACCGCTCAAAGTTTCGCGAACTAGATGAGCACGTTACGGGCCATGTGAAATTTGGGGATGGTTCGATCGTCGCTATTTTAGGAAAATGGTCGATTTTATTCGATAGCAAAAATGGCGACCAAAGACTCCTTAATGAGGTATATTTCATTCCAAGTCTAAAAAACAATATTATTAGTCTTGGACAAATGAGGGAGGAAGGGAGTCGGGTCATAATGGATGGGTCGGATCTGACATTGTTTGACAGAAACAAAACTCTACTTTTGAGAGTTAAACGATCCCCAAACCGGTTATATAAAACTCCTTTAAGGACCGGTAGACCGACTTGTCTTTTAGCAACAAAAGACGAACCAGCTTGGATATGGCATTCTAGACTCGGTCATGTTAACTTTCTCGCCTTAAAGAAGTTGTCCGAAAAGAATATGGCAATCGGAGTCCCAAAGATTGAGCACCCAAACCAAGTATGTGAAGGGTGCGTTCTTTCCAAACAAACCCGAATTCCTTTCCCGGATCATGCAGTTTTTCGAGCTCAAAAACCTCTACAACTTGCTCATGCGGACTTATGTGGTCCGATCACACCTACGTCTGTTGGAGGGAGTAAATATTTTCTCCTTTTTTAGTAGACGATTTTAGCCGGTGGATGTGGGTTTACATGCTATCGGAGAAGTCTCAAGCCTTGAGCGCTTTCAAATGGTTCAAGTTGATGGTTGAAAAGAATTCGAGTTATAAAATAAAGACACTTCGAACGGACCGAGGGGGAGAGTTCACTTCAAAAGAATTCTCATTATTTTGTGAAGAAAATGGTATTCAAAGGCATCTTACGACACCATATTCGCCTCAACAGAACGGAGTTGTAGAAAGGCGAAATCGGACCGTTATGGACATGGCAAGAAGTCTGCTCAAAGGTAGAAATGTTCCGGGAGAGTTTTGGGGAGAAGCGGTTAGACATGCAGTTTATCTTCTCAACTGCCTGCCAACAAAAGTACTTCCCGACAAGACGCCTTATGAAACATGGTTTGGCAAAAAGCCCAACCTTGAACATCTAAAAAGTTTTTGGTTGTGTTGCTTTTGCTAAACTTGTAGGTGGTCACCTGAAGAAGCTTGATGATCGAAGTAAGAAGATGGTGTATTTAGGTGTGGAAGATGGAACTAAAGGCAACCGTTTGTTTGATCCACAAGACCGAAAGTTGCGAGTTAGTCGCGATGTTGTTTTTGACGAAAAAGAAGAATGGAATTGGTACAAAAACAAAGAAGAAGAGATGACGACTCCTAAGACCTTTACCATAATTGAACCACAACCCCAAATACACCTCGAAACACCTCAAAATGACCCCGAAATCAATCTGGAACAACCAAACAGTCCAGGAATCGATGCTATCCAAGTTGGACAACCATATGCTGAATTTGACGAGCCTGAATCAGCCCCACAAACTCCTGTCTCAGCCCCGTTTTTTTCAACATCACCCCATATGGAAAGCCCTTCTAGTGAGATTGGGCCAAGGGGATTACTTTCTTACTACCTTGGAATCGAAGTTTCGCAAAAGAAGTGGGGAATATCTTTGCGACAAACGGCTTATGCAAAGAAGATTTTAGAGCAATTTGGGTTGCTGGATTGCAATCCGACAACGTCACCAATGGAACCTAAGTTGAAGGTTAAGAAGGATG